TTTCCTCCCAGTGCAAAATACCTTTAATGGGAAACGCTCTTCTGGACCTGTCTCAAACCTAGCTTCTTCTGGGAGCATTGAACGCAGCAGACTAGGTCCAGTGCAAACTACGTTTATTGGGAAACGCCTTTCTGGACCTGCCTCAAACCCAACTTCAGTCTTTAGTCACGCCAAGTGTACAGAGTGTATCTAATACAGAGTGGCCTATAAGTAGCACGTCCATCCGTAGAAGAGACGTCATGATGCTATTTCTAGGGTAATATTATTATTATTCATTACATTAACTTATTATACCTATACCAAGCGAGTTTCTCTCTACCTGAACTCCACCTACGCACCCAGGTCACGCTCCAGGACGAAACGTATAGGGGTTGTGACAATAGTACTACATCATGGAAACCAGACTGGAAACTAAACAATTCAACTATTTTACAACAACAAAAAAACAATCATTAGCCGACTCCTTGATTTCTTATCCCGTCGCGAAGCAACCCCTTTTTGCAGGTCGTTCTTACAATTTCCTACCTACAGGCGTTTACGGGTTGTCCCAGAATGTCTAAGGTGTGATGTTACATTCCCCCTCCCCTGGCCTCGAACTCGCCTCGAACAGGGGCCAGATGGGTCAACTGGATTCACCTTCTTTTTCGAAGGTCTTCCTCGTTTTCGTATTGGTACCACTGAAGAAATCACTTCGGATGTCCCATGTAGATACAGTCGTTAAATCTGATACATGATATATCCCTAAGGGTATTGTTGGTTCTTGTATGCCCGCAACTTTATAGCTTACTGAAGAAACTTTCCTCATTATTTGGTAAGGTCCATCTCTTTTGGGGTTAAATTTCGAGATTTCCTGCTTAGCAGCACTGCTAAGAATATGGGTAGCGACCCAAAAGTAGTCACCGACTTTAAAGGGTTCTACAGATTTTCGATTTTTATCAGCGTAGTTTTTTTGATAATCCTGTAATTTTTTGTTGATATCTCGAGCTTCCCATGTATTAGCCATTTTCATCAAATAAAAGGGGTTATCTGTGGTACAAAATTCTCATTCTCAACTATGACTCGAATATCATTTTGTAGGTCACCTAGGGTCCGGAGCTTCCGTCCAAAATTTAAATAAAATGCAGTAGGTATGACCTGTTGCATCACAATTCGCAGTATTCGTTGCAAACCGATATGTTAGTCGTTTTTCTACCCAAATGGTGTGACTATCCCCCACTAAAATTGCTAGTCTGGGTTTCAAATCCCGATTTTTGTGTTCAACCATATTGGCTGTCGCATGGTACAATGGAATTAATATTTCCTTGATGTTCAGCACAAAACATACTTGCTGCATGACAGATGTGACGAATTGTGTCCCGTTATCACTAATGATTTTTCTTGGTTAACCATAACGTAAAAAAAACTTCATGCATTAATGAGAAGACAAGCACATTCCTCTGCCGCCCACATAACAAAATTGCATCCTTAGAATGTAATGGGAATGTCCTTTTTTTAGGAGGAATGTGCCTAGAATGTTCGCCAAAACCATTGCGAATGTCCTGATTATTCAAATTCTTTTTTTTGTCCGATTCATGGAAAGCTTTCCATGAAAAGGACGGTGGCGTTCATGAACTGGACATACAACAGATTAAATACAAAAAAATTAAAATAAAAGCGGAATATAGTTCAATAACAGTTTCTACAGAAAAAGTTTAATTTTCCCAGAATCCCGCAAGAGTTATGTGACCATTTTCCACAAATTCGACACTGAAGCCATTCCTCTTTGCTCACACTGTATTCTCCATTGCAGATTGGGCAAACCGAATTTTCTTTTTCATGTTCTTCTTCCGATGAGTCTGCTTTATTATTTTCCAACATTTCTTCATAAAATTCTTTCAGGTTTTCTGGTGACGGAGACTGGTCATGTAACGATATTTCAGTATTTGTATCGGAATCACTTTCTAGAGCATTTGCTGATTTGATAACTGTCCTTTTTGTTTTTTTTAATGTTTCTTTGGCGTCTTTTACAATTTTTTTACCTTTCTTTCTTTTTTTTGTTTTTTCTTCGTGGGCTTACAAGAGTTCATCTTTTTCGGGAGTATCTGTGATAACACAACATTTCCCTTTCTTACGATTTCCTTGCACAGCTTTTCGAGGCTGAGCTTTTGGATAGGGTCTAACGATTTCAGGTGAAATTAAATTCAATTCGGCCCTCCCTTGCAATGTTAAAGAAGGTGTAGTTACACTTCTAGAACAATCCCAAGCTCGGTCTCGAGGATCAAAGCTAGTTGAAGCGGTAGGTTCCAAATCAGACTTTTTTGTTGAAGTTATATTTTCAAAGCTGTTTGGAGGTATATTCTCAATATTGACACTGGTTGATGGAGTTGGATCTAGCCTCTCAGCATCAAGAATGGTATTTTCTATTTCAACTTGGTTGTGGTTTTCTGGATCAGGTGGTTTTGGTCTGTCAGTTACAGAAGAGCCCAAAAAGTCATCGTCGGTAAACACTGAAGAGTTGAATGGATATATCCCGGTTTTCTGGAAGCTTTTGCAAATATTACTGATTGAAAATGAGTCACCAAATGCAGCGTTAACAAATTCTGCAATTTCGTATACTTATGCTGACCGTTTTACCGGGATTAGATACCAACCAATTGTTCATTGCCACTTTGTATCTTGCCTTAAAAGAACTGTAAACTGCCACGTCAAGGGGCTGCATTCGGTGGCTACAGTGTGGTGGAAGTGTTAAAATAATTATGTGATTTTCTCTTGCGAAATCGACTACATTTATATTGACATGAGTTACGTGATTGTCCATGATAATCAAGGCTTTCTCTTCACGGGTAGGTTTCACATGATTGATAAAATGTTTTAGCGAATCTAAAAATATCTCTTCCGTCATCCAACCTGACTGATTCGCGAAACCTTTAGAACCTGCCGGCGTGCCTTTAAGCATTATATCCTTAAAATACACTCTTGGAAACACAAACACAGGGGGCAGTGTTCCTCCAACAGCATTTATAAAGAAAAGTGCGGTTACAAGGTTTCCTCTCTAGGCAGATGCAATTTGGCCTACTTGTTTAGAACCTCTTACTGCTAAAACTTTGGGTGGCATAGTAACAGTCATACAGCCCGTTTCATCCAGATTCCATACCATGTTCGGAGCAAACTTGTGTTAGTTGTACAAATTTTCCAAGTTAGAAAAACATGTTTGTGTGTTCGATCTATTAAAGCTGGATGCTCTACTTAAAGAAGTGTTTTCGGGTTGACGAAGTGACAAGTCCTTGTTTCGTTTCAAGAACCCGTGAAGCCAGTGAATGCCAGCCCTAGCAGATTTTATCCATTCGGGTGGAGTAGGTATTTCATTTGCTAAAGCAAACCTATATTCCAGTTTTCTTGTTTGGATAGTTATTAGGCAATGGCACATTTTAGATGTAGTTTTAAGATAGGATACCAATAGTTGTTCTTGTTGTTTGGAAAAGGTTTTTCTGTTTCCAATGTTTCTATTGTAAACAAACTCATTTTCGGGAGCATTTTTTGCTTTTTTAACAAGCACAGCTAATAAGGACTTGGAAATACCAATGTTCTTTGCAACACTTCGGATGGATAGGTTTTGATTAACAACTGCATCCACAGCTTCTCGAATTTCATCATCAGACTTTCTCACTCGTTTAGCCATTAATAGAATTTTATAGGAAAATAAATAAACTTACTAATTCTGTATGCTTCCTTGAATCGGACAGTCTAATATTCCATGAATTGGACGTCGGATTCATGGGATATTGGACTGTCCGATTCATGGAAATTATCAAGTTAACATAACCTTAAAGTCTAAATTTAATGGGTTTTGTTATTATTGATTTTTACATACCTGTTTATGTCTGGAAGAAATTCTGATTTCGATAAAATAACGTCCTTTTGATTATCTTGAACAACAACTTAATTGCTTACTTTAAAAGATCACATAAATATTTACTTTTTGACCCATAAATATTTTAATGAAAATTTTAACAACGGTCGAAGCCGCCAGCTGACCGATACTAGTGCTGATAGATCACACTAGCCTAACAAATAGGTAGGGAGTATAAGTACTTTAATACTGCAACCAGGAATACACGAACTAGGTGTGTCCCTTTCAGGGGCCGTCTAATTCAAGGGAACTCTCCCCTACCTATGAGATTCTCAGTACATCCCGAAAAGAATATGCCTGTTTGATTCTAAAAATATGCTTGAAATGTATATTCTCACATTAAAAGAATGTTTCTATGACATTATAGTTATGTTCTCAAAAGAATATTATACCAATATGCTTGAAATATTCTTAGAATATATCTACATATGTACAGGTTGTCCCAGATTCGCTTATCTATACAGGCATCTCGGCTCCTATTATACCTACAGCAAAGGTTAAATGGGGGAAGTTTAAGACGAAGCTAAGTGAATTCGATAATCGGCTTCAGAATAACGATCGCTCAATTAGATTTGGAAATATCGGCGAAAAACCGAAAATGACGGATTTCGTTTTTTGCCCGTTAACCCAAAACGGTTAATTTGACAGCTGTCAAAATGTGACATTATTCAGACACTTTTTCAAGACCAATAAGATAGCGTGTATGACATGTCTCAATCGTCTTTTGTTTTTCCGTAAGCCGCCTCAACTTTCATTTTTATTATGGGCGCCATATTGGATTATTCGATTTTTGAAAAAAGCATAAAATTTCCAGTCTAGTGATGTCTCACAAGTGGATAAAAGATTTGAGTATCATCGAAAAATCACATTTCGTAAAGTTAATGTGTGGCCAACGATTCTGAGGCTACGGGGCATCGGTGAGGAAAATGCAGTTGTAAAAAAAAATGGCTGACTTTATTCATAAACTACTTACCCAGCTTTGCGCGGAACTTTTCGGACGTATAATATCGTATTGCAACTCGTACACGAAAATCGACAATGACCAAACCACCGCCACTGGATATTTTAAGATGAAAGGATAAAATTACGGGTTCCCTGCCCAAGCAGCAAGCTTACGTCAATTCCACGTTCATTCAACGTCATTTAGTGACGTCGAGGTATGTCTAATCTACGTTCCAATATACGTCGCTTAGACGTCACAATGTCATAGTAGAAGTGACGTTGTCTAGTGACGTAGAAGCGACGTTGTCTAGTGACGAAGAAGTGACGTATAATCAACGTCAAATGGACGCCTTATAGACGTCTTAATACAGGTTTTTTTTTTTTTTTTTTTGATGGGTTATATTGGGTTTCATCGATTTGGATTCGAAAAATAAATGCATCCTTTTTTTCAGTTTTGTAAGTAAAATTTTTATTCAAACTGGAATACAATACAAGTAGGTACCAGAAAAAAATTAAACACTAAGAATCATAGAATCAATCATACAATCTTACGTAGGAACCTTGTACTACCTATACTTGGTTGAATGTTATAATAATTTATTTCTGATATATTATTATCATGAAGGCCTTGGTACCAGTTTATTTTAAACGAAATAAATCTCTAAAAAAAAAAACAAAAAATAATCTTCTATTATCTAACAGTACGATAGGACCTAGATGTACTATAATGTATCAATAAAAAAACAGTAGGAAATTCAAGAGGTGGCTAAAAGACTGACATTCTCATCTATTTTTCGTTGACTTAGGAAAATGAAATACATTTGATATAGGTTGACAGGGAGTAAATTTTAAAGCTTCACCACTCTTTGCTATTATCTTGCTTTCGCAAAAAAATCGGAAACGCGTCAACTATAACTTGGAGGGGGATAAGTTTTTTATGCAAAATTTACTTCCGCCCTTTAAGCCCATATAGCAATCCCCTCAAAAGTTCTAAATGGAAAGGCAAGTGACGATAATTGAGGTTTTTACTTGCATACATTTTGGTACTAAATTTTGTGAATTTACAATTTACTTGCACCGATAACAAGTTCTATTACATTGTTTTTAAGAATGGATATTTTATGAGCGAAAATAAATTTAGAGGGTTAAAAGGGGGAAGTAAATTTTTGCATAAAAAACTCATCCCCCTCCAAATTATAGTTAGTCGTTTCAACTTCGAGATAATAGGGCTGGTGAGTATCAAAATGACCACCCTGTATAAAGATGCTTGAAATAGAAGGTATTTAATGTATGAGGGGAAGCGATAACCACTCACTGTTGAGGGGAGTGTTGAGAGGAAATAACATACATTTTGAAATTATAGAATCGATTGGGAAAACTTCCATATTTTGGTGTAGCTCCGTTACAATGCATATGTCAATAGATTTTGATTCAAATGGGTAATTGTAAAAAGATTCGTACTGAGTGAACTTTTGACCAACTACAAAAATTTCATTTGTGTTGTCAACTATAATATTATTAATTTTAATAACGTTTTTTCCAGTATTAAGACAATAACAATTAGCCACAGAATATGCTGATGTTGTGTATACAAAATTGTTATGATACAGCTTCTTATACTGTTTAACACAAGAACGCGCATCCATTAGTGGACCACAAAAATGTTCCATTTCCAATTTCCTAGAAACATCCAAGTTATTACCTAGGGAAATATTATTAGCTTCTGTTAATCGACAATATAGCTGCTCTAAAGGTTTGTTGGGTGATTTCACTGTTTTTTTAATTTCTCCCAAGAAGCTTTCAAATGGAAAAGCAGAAATTGTTTCTAAGGGACCAAATAACTCAACTTCTTCACTTAAATGGCATAACACATGGACATTATAAACCAAAAATTCTAATCCATATAAATCTTTTGCATGAGATACAAAACAGTTCAGTAAATTACTCGCAACATCACAGCCAATATTTGCCAAATGTCGCTTAGAAGATAAAATGCTTACAGAATAATGCAATAAAAGAAAGTGCTCATATATAGCCTTATCAATATCTTTCAGAACTAGGATTCCTAGATAAATTAGAAACGTTCGGAACTCTGTTGCTTTAAAACGAGCAAGGTCAGCTGAGATGCTTCTAGGTTTTCTGTTGAACTCAGAAACAACAAATTGTCTAGAAAAAAGTAATTTTTCTGATATACTTGAAACAACTCTGCTGCTGAAACGAACTCGCAAATCACCACTAGTCCAAGTAAGAAGAAGTTTCTTCATAACACCTAAGTATATACAATGCATGGGGTCAATGGGAAATTTGGAAACCATCCCAATATTCAAATTTTCTAATGGTGAAAGTCCTGTGTGATGATTTTGATCTGTCTTTTTTGAAAATGAATAATCTGATCTCCTAGTGGCTAATGTGTTATTGAAAATTATCCTGTTTTTGAAGTAGTCCCCTTCTTCAATACATTTATCACACCCTGAATACCCATTGTGTGATTTCACAGATTTAACTAAAGCACGAGCTGGTGCGTCGCAAATAAAACTATGGACAATGACTCTATATTTTTTGTTTTGAATTATTAAACCCTCTTCTAGTAATAAATTTAGATCATTTATAAAGTCAATAAGATAATCAAATAGTGGGCTAGGTTTGCTTTTTCCACAAAAAACTCCAATTGCAAAAGGTTTGAGTTTTATACTACTACTAACAATTAATCCCAAAATTGGCCAAAACTGAACTGCTGAACTTTTATATAGTGGTAGACCATCAATATTAAATGATATTTGAATTGTGTTTGTTAATAGTTCACTGTTTTTCAATATAATTTTTTCTAGGTATGTTTTTAAACCAAAGTGAGCATAAACTCCAGAATGTAATATTTTTTTATTGCTAATAGAAGTTGGAGTATTTAAAAGAGTTTTAGAAGAAAGAGGCAATTCTGGGTGGTGTGGAGATAACACATGGAGCAATTCAGTTAAGGAACTATGAGTTATTTTATTACTAATTGCCCACTTTTGTAGTTTATTTTTTAAACTGGAATTGTCTGTTATTTCTTTGGAAGACTTATGACTATCATCACTTGAACTATAACTTAGTTCCAGAAGAAGGTCTAAGTTTGGTTCAGTTGGGGGTTCAGGCGAAGGTTCAGGTCCAGTTGGGGGTTCGGGCGAGGGTTCAGGTTCAGTATCATTAAGTTTGTCATTACTGCTGCTGTTGAGCTTAATAATATTAGTAAATGTCGAAGTATCACAGTCCGTGATATCAGAGCTATTTATATCAGTATCCGATTTTTTTGAAATATTACACGCTTCAGTGGAATAATTTTTGTTTATCTTGAGAATATTCATTGTATCATTGAGTTCTTTAGCCACCCTCCTAAATATCTGACGATCTCCTACTATTTCTTTATAAAACTTTGGCATTTTTCAACCTTAGAATAACCAAACAAGAATAAAATAAAATAAAACTTAATTAGGGCTTATTCACTTTCCGAGATGGAGCATGCTTCAGCCAATTTTTTATTGCACTTTCGACTTGCTCAGTTGAAAAATCACATTGGTGCTTTACAGCATCTGTAATAAGGACAAAAAGGAGTGATTTAGGAAAAAAAAATTCAAAGCATTTTTATAAATCATAAAATTACAAAGTAAGTACGTCTGTGTGCATTGTTTTTTTTTTAATTTGGTCAAATTTTAAGAAAACCTTGCTCTCAGCCTTGCTATACTTTACTCCCAAATCTCCTAATAACAATTTAATGCTTACCTATTATGACTTTGTTCAGATGAAGTCTACAAAATGGGCTTTTTTCAGCTTCCTTGGTGGACTTGTTTCTGTTGTTTCCAAAGTAATTATATTTCTTGGCCACGGTGTCAGAGATAATACTTCGGAGAAGTCTATTAGTCTTCTGGACTAAATCTTTGGAGTTTGATATGGATAGGCAATAGGATTTCTGGAAACATTATCAACTAATTAGTTAAATAATAAAATTAAAACATTTTATTTCTGAGTTAGTTGTCCAAGATACTTGGACACTAAGAAAAAAAATTATGACATTGAAAAAAGCTTACTAAGTTGAATTAGAATTGAATTTAATTAAGTCCAAATGTTAACTTATAGGAACTTACAAAGTGACAAAGATGTTCTTCCTCTTCAAGGAAGCTTTCCAGTTTCGCTAAATCTTCTAGTTCAGAAACTGGCAAGTTGACAGGTAGACTTTCAGGCAAACCAACAATTTGTGTAGGAGTAGATTTTTTAAGAATACTCAAAATTTGTCTGTTTTGTGCCTTAACTTTCAAAACATTTTCTAGAAGCGTCTTGAATGCTAGAAAAATACAATTTTGTTATACCAAGCAGGAAAATAAACTGTTAATAAAAAAGCTATTACCGGGCATATCACGGAGATTGTTATCAAAATCCACTGAGCTTGGATCAGTGCATGGTGTCGAACGTTGTGAAACGTCGTGTACAACAGAAGAATGTCCTAAAACAAAATAACCTTGTTTTTTGAGCAATTTTGTTATATTTATTTTCCAAGCTTTCTACAGAAAGATTGTCTGTGACTAATAAAGAATAAAAAACATTAAAAGGAAGTGTTTGCAAAAACAGAATCTACCTGTGGAAGTAGAAGATTTTGGTGTGGACAGACGTACTCTATAATTCTGCTCTGAAATATTCATGCTTGTATCGCCCCCATCATCGACATCTGATTCTATTTGACTGGCTTCTTCTTCTTCCTCTGCCGTGTTTTGAGAGAGGCCTACAATTTTTCATAATATCATTAATACTTCTTCTGAGCAGATTTCTTTAAGGAACAGTAAGTAAGAAAGAGATAGGGAACTTGCCTAAAAAATTTAATTGATTATTGTTTATTGCAAACTGTAGAAAATCGAAAAAGAATCGATACGTATTTTTTTATTTTGTCTAAATATAATTTTTCCAAAAGTTACATGAACAAGAAAAAAACACATATTATGACTTATTTTTCATTTACTAATGAAATCAGCAATAAAAAAAATTGAGTCAAGTCCCCCAATCATCATTCAATGATTTATTTCTTTCTAACCCATTTTTTCCTTAAAGAGAAAATTACTCCCATTTTTTTTTTCAAAACCTTAAGACAAACTTCTTGAAACCTGACAACATTGGAATAAGCTCAAAGAGAGCACAACTTTGGTTAATATTCAAAAATCAGAGGAAATTGGAGAAAAATGGACTCTACTTGAAAATTTTGTACTGGATTTTTTTCAGTTTTTTGTCAACCATGCGCCTAATTTAAATTCCCTGATATTTTCTAATGTGAAAAAAATGCTTGAGAATGTGCAATAATAATGAAAAAGACCTGACCTGTTTTTTGTGTATAATAATTATTATTCAGCTTCAATTGGATACGTGGGGGACGTGGTAGATTAAGGTCCAGTTTCTTTTTTGTTGTCAACTTTTTTGGGGGTGAGCAATCATTTTCGTTTTCATCATCATCAGTATCAGAGAAAACTTTTTTTTTAATTATTTTTCTTTTAAGTCTTCTCTTCTCTTCAGGGTCCTCATCTAGATCTGTGTGAAGATCAGAAGTTACCTCGGCTTGCCTCAATTTTTCTTTAGCTTTATCAAAGTCCTCTGAAAAACAAATCCTAGGTATACCTTCCATGTGTCGCACCCCTATAGCTTTTATGTGTTCTGACTCATTTTGATCTAATCAGTCAATAAAAAACAATAACAGACTTTTTTTTTGGTGTAAGTTAAACAAAAAATCAAGATTATGACATCATAGTCTGTTATAGTAATTGGATGCAGGAAAGGAGTGTTGGTTAGAAAAATAACAACTTTTGGAGCATCTAAAATTGACAAATTCCGGTTCGACGTTCAACTAAGTAGAGTGACAATAACATTGAAATTTTGAATAAAAACTTCAGTGTTAATAAAAATTTTATCTCTGGGTCTCGTAGATTCTTTTTAAATTGACATTTAATTTTAAAATAATGGGATTCACTCAGCAGCTCCTAAAACAACAAACAAAATTCAAATCAAATCTCCAACCAAAAATAAGGAAATGCCGGCTCAAAAGTCAAAGTGATCCTATGAACAACATATTCTTTCGCCAACCTATACGTATTTTGAAATTGAAAAAAAAATCGAGCCCCAACCAAATTAATATAGACAATAAAGGCTTACCAGTTTCATAGAAAACTTTTTCTACTCCAAATAATTTCCATTTATCGGGGTCTATGTCCTGTTCGACTCTACGCAATACCTTGCTAAAATTTGAACTATTTTTTATAGGCGGCCAGAATACCTCTTGTTTTCTGGGAGTAAGCCACTGGGAATTAACTAGTGAGAGCCCACCACCATCTGCTTCTTTGAATTCTATTACTGCAAACATCGTGGATCTATAAGTATTACAGGAAATAAAACAATAGATTACTCTAATGTATCTACAGGGTGTCCATAATACCATGTCCCACTACTTTTATATTCGAAATGGTAAGAGCTACGGAACGAGGGTGGTTGAATAACAGAAAAGTTTCCTCTTTTAATGCTCATTCCTTTACAGAGTTGTGAAATATCTGTTATTTTCTGAAATACAGGGGGATTTCCAAGATTCATATTATTATTTCATCGATTATTTTTAAAACTCGTTTAAAAACTATTGATTTTTGGGAAACAATTTGAATTTAAAAGTTTTATAATTTTGCTCGCTTTGAAACATGGTACATCCCACAATTCCCACATACCAATGACGTATTCGAATTTATTTTTTCTACTTTAGCTGAGAGCTTCAGCTTCCTCAGCCTGTGCACTCCAAGTTGCTTCGTTTGGGTATTACTTTTTAAGTCATTTGGTCATGGATTTCTAACCACTCATAGATCACGTGATAGAAATACCCAAATCTGCTCATACTCTACTTCAACTATGTGCTGACTAGCCAAACCTAGCTTTTGTAGTAAAAAGTTCCGACCAAAATTCTGTTTGTTTCTCTCAGAATTTCCTACAAAATGGGCCAATAATATGAATAAGAAATAGTCCAGGTTCATGCTTATTTGGAAAAAAAAGTAGTTTGTAGTGATGGCTCGAATATGAATTGTTCAAATCAAATAAGAAGTAAGCTTTATTGTCCAAAAAAAACATCGGTATTGACAAAGCAATAATCTTTAGATTAGTTGGATTCAAATTGTGTCCCAAAAATCAATAGTTATTGAAATAATCGATGGTATATTTTCAGGCGATTCTTAGAAATCACCCTAAAAATTAACAGAAATTTCACAACCCTGTAAATGAATGAGAAAAAAAATTAATCAAATCAAAAAATTACGCGGCAATGCAATCAATTTGATCATGGCCATTTTGAAAAAAGAACGCCATGAGTCCAGAAATATAGCAACGAAACGGTCAACCTATTCATATATTTTACACTCAATATTCTACTTACCAGAAATCGAACCTAATCCGACTGAAGCCACAATCACTTCACCAAATTAGTAATTTAATAATTACTAATTACCATTTACCACACCACAAACACAAACGGCGAGCCGGCCATGCGAAGCGAAGCGAACAGCAAACAACAAACAACACACACAGGAACGCAAAGCAAGAAGCAAGATGGAAGACGATTGACGTTGACGATGACGAATCGACCAATCGACGGGTGGCACATTGGCGGATCGGGTACGACTGCTCCCGAGAAGGTCCGAGCCTTGCCGAAATGCGTTTGCCGCGCTTTGAATTTAATTTGAAAATGAAAATTGTGCTGCGCTGTTTTATCTTTATCGAATTCGCGAAAATCAGTCACCAATAAATTAAATTGCGCTGAATTTTTCCAATATGGATTCTATAGTAGTGAACAACAAACGCTGTAGGCACGGGGCTTAAGGGAGGGTTTGTCTTTTATCGAATGCCATATGTATTAGCTCTTGTTAATTAATTAATTGAAGTCGGAAATATATTATTTGAGCACAAAAGTCGGAGATTAATATCATCTTCATACATACAAATCGGCTTTGTTGTTCACTGATATGGATGAGCTTACAGATTCGATAATAGATGTCGCCCACTTTGAAATTTTCGCGAATTATAAGTGTATCTAATTTAGCATATATTACACAATAGTAATTCGCGATACTTTTTTTAAATTTTTACTGTTACGTCCACTCGACGTCGTTATCAACGTATTGGACTGTATCGACCATTTTTAGACGTCAAATAAACGTCCACTATGTGACGTCCCAAACAAGTCATATTTTGCAACGTCTTTTCGACGTCGATTTTTGGTTTATCGACGTTGTGGACGTAAATCTACCTGAAAGCGACGTCATATCGACCAACCTTTGCTGCTTGGGTGGCCAATAGCGGAACGTAAGCCCCATGACAACCGCATTGTTCCTCATGGCAACGGCGTGCCAAAAACTTCACCGATCACGTTCATCCAGGCCGCATGTTAGCCAAATTGACAAGAGCTAATGGTATGTTTAGGAAAATGTTTTTTTTTTGAGAATAGACAGAATAGACCCATCTCGCATAAATAGAAAAAGAGAGCTAAATTGTAATAAATACAAGTTAGAAAGTAATAAAAGATGACATGCGCGCGCAACTCGTGGCTACAGTGTAGCCAGATTATATTGTTGCAGAGCAAATCTAGACAATACAAATCGAACATTATAACATTGAAGAAGTGATATTTGAGTGTCAAGTGTTTTACAACGCCTCAAATCAGAGAAAGGAAGAGCTTCAATAAAGTGAATGTAAACATCGTTTGCACTTTTATTTTATGATAAATAATAGGTCTGTTTCTGCAGAAATCACAAACCAGTCAGAGTGAATTTCATTGGTTGACACTAGTTTTCTGACTGTTTCTGACTGTTTTCAACCAATGAAATTCGCTCCGACTGGTTTGTGATTTCTGCAGAAACAGACCTATTATTTATCATAAAATAAAAGTGCAAACGATGTTTACATACACTTTAAAGCTCTTCCTTTGTCTGATTTGAGGCGTTGTAAAACACTTGACACTAAAATATCACTTCTTCAATGTTATAATGTTCGATTTGTATTGTCTACATTTGTTCTGCAACAATACAATCTGGCTACACTGTAGCCATAAGTTGCGCGCGCATGTCATCTTTTATTACTTTCTAACTTGTATTTATCACAATTTAGCTCTCTTTTTCTATTTATGCGAGATAGGTCTATACTGTCTATTCTCAAAAGAAAACATTTTCTAAACATACCATTAGCTTTTGTCCATTTGACAAACATCCGGCCTGGATGAACGTGATTGGTGGAGATTTTGGAACGCCGTTGCCATGGGGAACCATGCGGTTGTCATGGGGCTTACGTTTCGCTATTACCCAGGGTACCCGTAATTTTATCCTTCCATCTTGAAATATCGACTTACATTGAAATATCCAGTGGTGGTGGTTTGGTCATTGTCTATTTTGGTGGACGAGTTGCAATACGATATTATACGTCCGAGAAGTTCCGCACGCAGCTGGGTAAGTAGTTTATGAATAAAGTACCGCCATTTTTTTTACAACTGCATTTCCTTCACCGATGTCCCGTAGCCTCAGAATCGTTGGCCAGGCATTAACTTTACGAAGTGTGATTTTTCGATGATACTCAAATCTTTTATCCACTTGTGAGACATTACTAGACTGGAAATTTTATGCTTTTTTCAAAAATCGTAAAATCCAATATGGCGGTCATAAGAAAAATGGAAGTTGCGGCGGATTGCGGGATAATGAAAGACGATTGAGACCTGTCATGCACGCTATCTCATTGGTCTTGAAAAAGTATCTGAATAATGTCACATTTTGACAGCTGTCAAATTAACTGTTTCGGGTTAACTGGCAGAAAACGAAATCCGCCATTTTCGGTTTTTCGCCGATATTTCCAAATCTAATTGAGCGATCGTTATTCTGAAGCCGATTGTTGAATGCACTTAGCTTCCTCTAAAACTTTCCCCATTTAACCTTTGCTGTAGGTATAATAGGAGCCGAGATCCCTGTATAGAGAAGCGAATCTGGGACACACTGTATATCATTCTCAATATGCATCCTAGACAAAATATTCTTGTTTGATTCTAAGGATATACTTGCAATGTTAATTTTCGCATCCAAATAATGCCCCTTTCGGCCCTTTCAGTGATCCTTTTCTATTAAAGGCGGTGAAAGCGTTGTTGGAAAACTTCTCTGGAAAACACAAGTGTTTAACCAAGGCTCCGGTTTCGAGCTTGTTATGCTCTTGTCGCGGTAAGCACGCCAACTGAGAGAAACAGTTTCCAAGGAGATTCAAACGCTAGGCAAGATGTAGATCTTTAATAGCGCGTGGCTGCCTCCTTGGAAGTCCTACAAAGCAAACGAAAAAGAATATAACTATAATATTTTTAGTAGGTTCTAGATAGAGCATTATTGTTTAATTGTTCAATTAAGATTTTTGGGTAGGTACTTTAGATAATTAGGTGAACAATATGAAAATATTCTTATCATGGTTATCTACCTACATAAACTTCTCAGCACAACTTGGTAGGTATATTCTTAATACTTGATAGAGATATTAGCCGAAAGAACATTTTTTAGGGTACATTCTAATAATGTTCGTATGACAATATTCAAAAAATGTTATATAAAGTAGGTTCTTTGCACAATCTTTCAAGTAGGTGCATAGAAGCAACATTCCTAGTACCTACATAAATAGAACATCCAAAAATGAATATTTCAATCGAAACAATCTTAGAATATTCATTTGACATTCCTAAAAGAACATTCGAAAAAGCACTTTGAGGGAATATTCTGAGAATATGAATGTTCTTTCACTGTTATGTGGGCGTTGCTTTCTTTATAGCGAAAAGCTTCACCCATTTAGTAGAGCTATCTTCTACTATGAAAATCCATTTGTTACCACTAGAGACTTTGCCACTAGCATCTTCTGGAAGGGATCCAAATAAATCCATGTAAAGTGTTTCAAATATCTGAGCGTTGGCGTTTGTACTGAACCCGCTGGCTTTTGATTTGAGGCCTTATACCGTTGACACTCGATACAATTCTCCACATATTCCGTTGTCACAAAATATCGCATTCCAGTAAAATAATAACGCTTTGCTATCCGGTGTAAAGTTCTTTCAGCGCCGTAAAGGTAGGCGGCCACTGCGAGCGAAACGAAACTAAGCTGTGCTAGACGAAGCTAACGGTAACTAAACTTAACTAAGTTTAAGCGGCCACTGGGAACGATTTTCGTTTAGTTCTCAGCTGAGTTTTCATGCGGAAAGACCTATAAATTTATTTAAAAAGTTAGAATGTATATATTGTCAACGGGATATTTTCAGTGTTGTAAATTTTAATATAGGTACTTATCATTTGGGAAAAACCTTGTGGGACACCCTGTATATTAAAATG